CTTTCTCTCTCTCTGTCAATTAAATAAATAAAATCTTTAAAAAAAAAAAAAAAGAAAGAATTAAGCTGAGTGGTGGCTACTCCCTTCTCTTCCCCAACAGCTTTCTCAGCCTTTTAACTCTTACCCCTCCTTTAAAATCAGCTACAGAATCCAGAGAGCAGACAAAGAGAATGAGAATAGTGGATAAAATCTCTCATGTTCTCAGTCTTGATAAATAAGTGTCCTCCTAGGCAGACCCTAAACAAGCACACTGCCTTTTAAGCATGACCTCATTTTTTTGTTAAAACTCAGTGATTCCATACACAACTGCCCTTAGAGAAAAAAGCATAAGCAAATGTTCTTTTAAAAGAAACCTACATACATATTTTAAACCGTCTGACTTTAAGATAAAAACACTTTATCAATCTTTAAAGACAGCTTTCATGGACAGCACTTGAGTTCTCAACCTGTGCTAATCCCCTTCTCTACCAACTACTCAGGATATCCCAAGCTGGGCAAGTGACCCAGCACTCGGTATTCTAGGACTTTCTGCTTTCAATATTTGTAGATCATTCTGTTGTTGTTGTTAACAGCTAGCCTCATGTTAGACAAGGTATTTTTTACTTTTCTTCTCTGGAAATTAGTGAAATAATAAGACAAGTGATTTGGCCTATTTTATCTCTAGTTGTAATTCCACAGTGGTTTAGAAAGCAGAAAGTCTGACATAAAAATCCATATGGGCAGATAATACCAAGGGACTGCCAGTGAGCAAAATGAAGTAATCTCCACTCAAAATAATCTCCATTCATTTGGGTTAAGAGAATTGGGAAACTGGGCAAGAGAATAGTAAACTGGTCAAAGCCATTACTTTGCATGTTATCAGACCCACTTCAGCACCAGATGGAAACATACATATCTGAGGACAGCCTGCCGCAAAGACAACTGACGCACCTCTGGTGCTACCACTTACCACTACAAACCAAGATCTAAATAGGCACAGCCAGATAGGGTTCTCAGTGGAGTCAATCTGTATGAAATTCAGGGAGAAGCACTGGAGTTTTTAACATAACCAACCTGGGCTAACACTGTGATGAAGTTACGATTTAAATGAACAGCTTCATAAAGTGCCAGAAGGATGGCCTCATTGGTTCTAAAGAAGAAAAGAGAACAAATTGGAGAGGCTCTTATAGTGGAACAGTATGACCATCAAGATACAATTTCACCCAGCTCCTCATTTTCAGTCCTTTGCATTTCTAATGCTCCCTTTATTTCGTTGTTGGGTTTATATAAAGGGTATATACGGAAGGAGTCAGGGCCTTAACTTAATTCCTTAGAACTAGTTCTTATCTACTTCATTCCCTATTTTCCCTCTCACTTTTCCACCCCAATCTAGTTAAGTCCTTAACTGGCTCAGACACCCAGCCCTCTTGCATTTCAGTCCAGAGACAGCTGGGAACCATTTATCGGCTTCTCAGGGCTCAACAGACATGACCAAAGTAGTGGTTTCTAAGGGTCCATTCTTGTTTAAAACCCAAGAAACATTTGATAAGTCACCATAAAAGTTTGAATCTGTAAAAGATTAGCAAGAGGTAACGTTTCACACTCATATCCAGCCAGAGAGCTCACACTAAAGTTCAAGTCACTGCACAAGAATTCCAGGCACTTACTGTACTGAGATTTTCTCATGGGCATCTGCTATGAACATGCTGCCCACCTGTGGAAGAAAAGAGGCATTGCAGACTTACAGCAGGGAAATGTGAGAGGAGCTCTGTGCTTACGCGAAGCATTTGATCAGTGAAAAAATAAGTGGCGTGCAGACTGAGGGAACATGGAACTCTGGCCCACCAGTCATACAGACCAAAACCAGCTCCCTTTCAAGATCTTCAAATAATCACAAGTAATAAAATATTGAAATAACGAGAAATCCACTGAATTGTCTTTCCATAAAGGGCCTTAAAAAAGAACAATCGGGGGACGCCTGGGTGGTGCAGTCAGTTAAGCGTCTGCCTTCAGCTCAGGTCAGGATCCCAGGGTCCCGGGACCAAGTCCCACATCGGGCTCCTTGCTCAGCAGGGAGCCTGCTTCTCCCTCTGCCTGCCGCTCCCCCTGCTTGTGCTCTCCCTCTCTCACAAATAAATAAAATCTTTAAAAAAAAAAAAAAAATCAGGGGACTCCTGGGTGGCTCAGTCAGTTAAGCATCTGCCTTTGGCTCAGGTCATGATCCCAGTGTCCTGGGACCTAGAGTCCTGCATCGGGCTCCTTGCTCAGCAGGGAGCCTGCTTCTCCCTCTGCCTGCCCCTCCCCCTGCTCATGCCCGCTCTGACAAATAAAATCTTTAAAAAAAAGAACAATCAGGACTTTTGTCCAGCTCTCCTTTTCAATGTGTAAGTTTAGTAATCACTGACAGCAAATAAATGTTAACCTAGACCTCATCACTCAGCATCTTTCTTAAAAGTTGCTTACTTAAAGTCAGAAACTAATTCATGAAGAGTACCACAGAAAGCACACTGATTTCATATCCAACATAAGCTGTCTTCAGAGGAATATTTGAGTTTCAGACCAGAAATGTCTATGGAGACCCACTGTCCATCTTTAACAAAATCTTTAGTTTGTGTCATAGGCAGGGGAGCCACATAAGTAAACGGAGTAGGTTGCCTCCAGTATGTGTGATGTCAGAGGCACTGAGAAAGATGCCCATCCCTCTAAAAATACCTTTCCTTCTGCCTACTGATGTCCCAAACTATGCAGCTGGAACTTCCTTTCTTTAGTACAAAACTTTTTCTTCCTGGCTAAAAGGCAAGGATCCCTGGAGCAGTAATATTATATCCAATTCATTTAACCAAATACCAACACAGCACTCATATTGCTCTGAACTCTAACTTTACTCATTTATGCTTCAGAGTTAAAGAGCTCAGCAAATCCTTTTCTCAGAGTAAGCTCTGAGAAAGAAGGGAAGACCTAAGCACTGGGGAGAATAACTGCCTTTCTCGGGGGTAGAGGGATAGCTGTTTTTTTGCAATGAACTCAAAAACTGTCTTGCCCTACAGCTGATTACTTGAATACTAATGTCCAAGAAAAAAGACTTTCTGAATCTGCCCAGATTCTAAGACCTACTAGATTCATCTCTTAAAAATTAGTCCCAGGGGTGCCTGGGTGGCTCAGTTGTTAAGCGTCTGCCTTTGGCTCAGGTCATGATCCCAGGGTCCTGGGATCGAGCCCCGCATCGGGCTCCCTGCTCCGTGGGGAGCCTGCTTCTCCCTCTCCAACTCCCCCTGCTTGTGTTCCTTCTCTCGCTGTGTCTCTGTCAAATAAATAAAATCTTTAAAAAAAAAAAAAAATTAGTCCCAGGTTACCTGGCCCAAAATGTCTACGGTGTCAAGGTTGAGAAACCTTGTTCAGAAGTCTTGCAAACTGGACCAATAGCTTTCCTCAACTATGGACCTCTCAGTCCATTAAATCTTTAGAGGAGTAGCTCAAATCCTTTGCATCAATCCCTTGACTCCAGGACCAGCTATGAGGAATCAAGTGGCCATAGCAGACAGCCAAGGAGCACTCGGGTCTACACTCAGATCTAAATTCTCCTACCTAGTCAATCAATATTCTGCAGGGTCAATCCTCAAACACAGCCAGCTCTTCAGGAGACAAAAGTCTGACTTAATATGTATGCTTTTTTAGCCTTTAAAAAACTGAATTAATTAATTTGAAAAAATCAGTCCCAGAGCAATCAGAGCTCTCCTCTCCCTATCTCACTTGGGTTTGGAAATCAATAAAAGAGACAGAGCTCTCAAAAAAATCTGCTCTGAGACACTCTCCCCTCATCATGCCATCATCTCAAGCATTTGAACTTCTGAGTCCAAATTTGTCTACCCCTACAGACCTCTTACATTCCTAGCAGGACAGAAAAAACAAGTTGGACTTACCATATTTGTTAAAGCAGAGAAAAAACCACTCTGGTGTTCTTCTTCCTTGTCTTTATACTGCCTGAACAAAAATAACTAAATTCAACTTTAGTATTACTTATCAAGTATGTCTTTGTCCTTGGCATTCTAGGTAATCAGGGCAGGGCACTCAGAGAATTCACTGACTCCAGAAAACAAAAGCATTATGACAATCTAGCCACAGCAGTTTCCCCTGCAAGCTAAGAGACACACATCTGCTCTTGAGGCAGCGTGTATCAAAATGCCTGGCTACTTTGGGAAAGACTCCGAACAGCAAGCTGCAAACGTGTGAAACTGCTCTAACATATGGCTGATCCAGTTATTTCCCAAACAGACTATTACTTGAAAAATGTAACAGTGAAATTACTTTCAGACTGTAACAGTGAAAATCTTGTTTGTTTTTGAAGGAAGAGGAGGGAAATCTGTGAGCTGAACTATTTGTGGAGATGGGGCAGATTTGAAATTCCATATCCAATTGTGTGTGAGCAAAGTCTGAAGAAATGCAAGCAAGATAATGCCTGGCCCTTGCCAGGATTAGGAACACTTCTGGTTTCCATTCACTGAATACCAGATACCTTCCTCATCCAAAACAAGAGGGAAAGCAAGCATTGATGAAGAGAGACCCAGAAAAGACAGGGACTCAGGGAAGTGGCAGTCGATTCCTGATGAAAAAGAAGCATCCATCAAACTAGAGCTAATTCAGTATGTTTTTTCTTATTTATTTTTAAGTGTACAAAATGTGGTGCTTCGCAACTTTTTTTTACAGAGAAAATTGTATTTGTAGGATACATGGGGCTAAATGGAAGAGCCTGCTTGTGGCTGGAAAACTAGTTAAAATGTTCTGCAATAAAATACCAAAGGTTGCAAAAGAATGTGCCTAATTGCTTAAAGAAAAGATGGACACTAAGCTGGTGGCTACTTTCCCCTTGGTCTTAGACACAACCCCTGCTAAGACCATCAAGCTGAGCTAGAGCAAATACATCTGCCAGAAGCTAAACCTAAGAATACCTTTTTAGGATAGGTAAGGGAAGTTCATCCAAGCACTGGAGCAAATCTGTTTTCTACTCAACCAATTCAAATGAAAATGAGACCCTTCTGGAACAGTGGACTTACCTGTTGTACTCAGATAAAGCCTGAGCAATCACAAGCCCCATTCCCTAGAAAGAAAAAAGACAGCACAGATGAAATAAGGGGCTGGTGGCAATGCCAGGCCAGGAAAAACACTAATTACAGCCCAACGGTCCAGATTTTCCTGATCTATCTTAATGTCACTTAATAGAGTAACAAGGTTGGGGAGGGGTGAAACGGACCAGCCCAGATCACTGACAATTTCACTGGGATCATTTTTACCTCAAAAGAGAAGACTAAGTTAGAATCTTCAAACAAAAAGCTCTCATATGTCTCTAAAACAGTCACAATAAGAGTGACAATGAGTCTCACACTAAATGAAGGCATAGAGACAAACCACTCTTTCAGGCCACAGGAAAACAGGAGGATAACAGGAAGAAGCATCCAATAAATGTAAAAGTGACTTATCAACTTCCCCTTTAGAACGTGCTAAACATGACACAAAGATCAATTCAGGCCACAAGGATGAATCATGTATGCTTTTTTTTTCATAAGTGAAATTAGAAAAATGAAGAGGGCAAGATGCCAGACACCTGGCCATCTTCTTCCTCCCTTAGTCAGAGATCAGATATTATTTCCCAAACTTTCAAGGACATATGTAGCAGGTATATAGATCATCTTCCATCTTCCAGCTTCACCAAGTCAGGCTGTAAATGCCATCTGGCTAGTTCTATAAGAAGGGATCTCCCACCGGTTAGTCATACAAGCCTTGCTTTGTTGTTTTGTTTTTGTTTTTTTTATTTTCAACTTTATTGAGGTATAACTGACATACAAAATTGTAAGATATTTTAAGTGTACATCATGCTGATTTGATATATCATCTAAGCCTTCTTATTCTTGGGAATGTAACTTATTGACTCTGTAGAATCATCAACCTCAGCACACTATAACATGAAATATAACCATTTCATGATGATTAGCCAACAAATGTCCCCTCAAACCTTCCTTCCATGATAAGAAGATAAAATACAATAAGACAGTCACACCGATGCTCTAAAATGAAATACCGATTCCCTCTTTATAGCCAGATGAAATTAACACAACAGCTCTCTAATCTCTGTTCTAAATATCCACTGAAAGTAAGGCCACCAAAAGCAAGTAATTAAAACAATACCCAAGGATCCATATACTCACATTGAGCGTAGCCTCATCATCCACAATAGACAACTTCACAATATAAGGATTCACAGACTGTTAAAGAAGAGACTCAAGATGAGTGTGACTTAGTTAAGAACCCATTAGCTATTTAACAAAGCGTTAACAAAAATGCTTTCTCTGTGGTGATGCTCCTAATACCCAGATCCAACCCACCCTGCCAGCTAACTCCCCCATTTCCAGCAAATCTCTCAGTGTGCATAGGCAATCACCAAACACACACACACACACACACCAGTTCTGTTCTACTTGCATTTTCCTCTAGGCTGGATCAGCCCAGGCCTGTGTCTGCTACTTCTCCCATCTTTCCATCTTATTTATTTCTAAGAAGTGAACACTCCACAAAACTCACTTTGTCCTATCCTGCCAATAATCTGAGTCCATAGGGACAGCAGTCTTGGGAGGAACATAAAAGCTTCTTTGCCATAAGGCACAAATTTATAAGTTGCTAACTTACAGTCTCATCCCAAAGGCTCCCTAACCATTCCAAGAACTATATGCAAGGACTGATTCACCCACCCGTAAAACAAAGCCACCTTGGGGGTGGAAAGTGGCAGCTGCTTAACAGCCAGAGAGGCCATTTATGGATCTAATACCCAAATAACACTGCAGGGGAACTGAAAAAAAGGATGTAATTACCCAAACTACAATCTGGTCAGAACACTGGGATTTAATGATTGTCCCATCACTTATAGCACTGGAAGATTTCTTGAGTTTTTCCAGACCCAATCTCAGCTGGGCAGCATATGGAAATGGACATATATTTAAATTCGTTAAGCAGTTGGTCCATCTTCTACCACAGTGGGATGAGAACCAATGACCTACTCACCTTGGAAGTGACCCCACGCATGGGATGTAAGGAAAGACCTCATCTAGATCAGGCACAAATTCTAACCCAAGGGAAGCAAGGAACAATACTGGTAGTTTTTACAGCAACCAAGAAAACTCATTACTGAGAGACTTGGAAACCCCCGACATAAGACCTTATTTAATCAAGTTTCTGAGGGTATCTTTTGAATGTCAACTGGGAATAGAGAAAGAGACAGCTTTGCTTTCTTAACAGCCCAAATGTTTACAAGGTTTTCTATAACACAACCTAAGGAGGTAAAACCCACTCTGCTTGTCAACTGATCTGACAGAGGAAGGCTCTCCACACTGCTTCCTATAACCAGCAGTCAAATCCTGCTGATGCCACAGACGTCATACAAGATTGAATGCAAGTGGATCCTCAGAAAAGAAAATCAGCAGTAGGCCGACCTAGAAATGTCATGATGAAGAGAACACTAGAAGGAGCAGGCCAATGTTTCTAAGCATAATTTTTTAAAGTCCTGATCACTCAACCTTCCCAAAACTCCACTGTTTTAGGTAATAATAAGGATCATCTGATTAACAAGAACAACCTATGCGTTAGCAATTGAGGAAAAGGTAAGGTGCCTAAAAGCAAGGGTTTGAGTTCTAGCTCCTCTACTTACTAATTGTGACAAGACAGGCACATTTATTAATAAGCTCAACTTCCTCATCTGTAAAATGGGGTATTTTCTTTGTCGGGGTTGCTATGAGACTTAAATGAAGTTAGACATGTAAAAACCTTAGCATAGTACCTGGCAGATGGTAAGGACTCAATGATTGGTACCTATATATCTTCTACTTTAACATTTTTATTACATTTGAAGAAAGCTCTTTAGAAAAAGAAAAAGACCAATCTGCAATTGGACAATAAACAATTTTGTAATTTCTGGGAAACATCATGTTCAGGACAGCAGTTGGGGGCCAAGTCACTTCATCATAGGAGACTGGGCCCACCTAGAAGGCCAGGATCTTAATGCTGTGAAAATTTCTATTCTACCAGACACTGAGTTCCCTTTAACACTATATACCTGTTGTTGGTCAGTCACATTTTTAAACTGAAATCAATCTACTTTTCACCCACAAGACAGAATTACAAACTCAGTGAGCCTACACAGGATCACTCTAACAGGGCTCTGCCTTTATCTGATCTAAACCACACTTATTCTTTTTCATCGCCCCCCCCCTTTTTTTTTTGCCTCCTCTATCTCTTGAGAAAATAATGAAAATGGAATGCATTATGTGAGGTGAAGAAGAACTATTTACATTTACTACATGACATCTTTTCCATCACTTCCATTCCTTAAGTCCAACTTGCCTTCCCTGTGAATTAGGTGGGCGCCCAGCCTCTCTGGCGCCCTCTGCACGTTACTAGAAAGGTTACAACTTTCCCCATCTGTCATGGGACAGATTGTGGTGGGAGCTAGAATGCTGTTCTGCCCAGCACACACCCTCTCATACCGGTTTGCATAAAACTTCACCAGCTTTTGGTTTGACTATGTTCATCTGGAATTCCTCATGTTCCTGTCAAAAACCTTCCTGCTCCATGGTCACTAGGCTTCCTTAATGGTTTCTGGTGAGTGACTTATATCAAAAGCTGCAAAGCCCAGATAAATTATGCCCGCCAGCTTGCCCTTGCCTACTATATTAATTCTTCTGTGGCTTCTGACAGACTAGAGATGCGTACCTCGCTCCAGAAATATGATTTTCTCTAGTTCCTTGGCCATGTCCAATTTTTCAGGCTGACATTTCAGAGAGCCCTACTGGGCTGGGCTCAATTCACATTTAGAGAAACCAAGCCATTGCCTCAGAGTGGCCTGCAACCAGGAGAATGTTCTGAAAACATTCATTACTAATGATGGTGCTTTCCTATCACATATAACTCAACTTTCATTAACTATCTTCAGCATTTTTCCTCAGCTATTTTTCTTGCTGTTGTAATAAGACCTCAGAGGCTATTACACATGACAGAGATCAAAATGGCTACCATGCCAACCCCTCCAGATCACCAGTAAAACAGGTGTTGGTGGGGCAGCTGGGTGGCTCTGTCGTTAAGCATCTGCCTTCGGCTCAGGTCGTGATCCCAGAGTCCTGGGATCGAGCCCCGCATCGGGCTCCCTGCTCAGAGGGAAGCCTGCTTCTCCCTCTCACACTCCCCCGCTGCTTGTGTTCCCTTTCTCACTGTCAAATAAATAAATAAAATCTTAAAAAAAAAACAAAAACAGGTGTTGGTGATAAACTACATATTTATTAGTAGCTCTACACACCATCTGTCAGTTCCTCCAAGACAATGAAAGCAATCAGCTCCTGGGAATTATAACATATTAACATTGCTCCACATATTCCAGTCCTTCTTTAAATATTTCTCACAGCCTCCCCTTCTTCCATATTCTCCTTATAAGAATAGGCTCCAGGTTTTGTGTTACCCATCACTCTCAACCTGACTAGGAACCATCTCAAAAATCACTAAGTGGGGGTGCCTGGCTGGCTCAGTCAGTGCAGCATGCGACTCTTGATCTTGGGGTTGTGAGTTTGAGCCCCACATTGGGTGTAGAGATTACTTAAATATAAAAAAAATCTTTAAAAAAGAAAAAAATCTCCAGGCGCCTGGGTGGCTCAGTCCTTAAGTGTCTGCCTTCGGCTCAGGTCATGATCTCAGGGTCCTGGGATCAAGTCCCACATCAGGCTCCCTGCTCCACGGGAAGCCTGCTTCTCCCTCTCCCACTCCCCCTGCTTGTGTTCCCTCTCTC